AATCATTATTAGATCATACTACATCTCGTGTAGTTAAGGTCCAAAAGTTTTCGAAAGGTCTTTCGACAAGTTGAAGGACCTGTAACATCTTTAAAGCTAATCACTAAATGAGGATCTGACGGAAGTGGAAACCAAAGCAATTATAAACAAAAAATTGAAGGGGATGATTCAACTATATTGACGACATCAATAGTACCATTATATTGGGTTGTTCGGAAAGTCATTTCGTTTTTTTTGGGGAACATGAAAGACAGTTTTCGTATAATGAATAAATATTTTATTAAATTATATATTGGCCATTCTGGTCCAACACCTTTTGCCATCTTTCTGGCAGTAACATAATTCCCCTCTCATAAAAGTTTTGGTCCTTGCTGGCAAAAAACTAATTCAGGTGGTTTTTGACATCTTCATTTGAGGTAAAGGTTTTGCCATCCAAAAAATTTCGCAGGGACCGGAACAAATAGTAGTCGGAAGGCGCCAGATCTGGAGAATATGGTGGATGTTGCAGTACGTCCCATTCAAGCTGTAAAAGTTTTTGGCGAGTGACCAAACTTGTGTGAGGTCTCGCATTATCCTGGTGGAACACTACACCCTTCCTGTTGATTAATTCGGGCCTCTTCTCTTTAAGTGAATCATTCAATTTGTCCAGTTGATGACAATAGACTTCTGAATTAATCGTTGTATTGTCCGGCAAAAGCTCAAAAAAAAAAACGATTCCTTTGACATCCCACCAAACGGAGAGCATCACCTTTTTTTGGTGAATGTTGGCTTTTGACACGCTTTGAGTCGGTTCATCTTTTCTGCTCCATGTCCTCTTGCATTTAACATTGTTGTATACAACCCATTTTTCGTCCCCAGTAATAATCCGCTTCAAAAATGGATCATTTTCTTGACGTTTGAGGAGCGAATCACACACGTCAACGCGACGACACAAATTTCGCTCCGTAAGGACATGGGGCACCCACACATCGAGCTTCGAGGTTAAGCCCATGCCTTTCAAATGGCCATAAACAGTCGAATTCGACAAATTTAATCTCTCACCGATCTCTCGTGTGGTTATTCGCCGATTTGCATCAACTAATGCCTTTATCGCATCTTTGTCAGCTTCGACCGGCCTTCCAGACCGTGGTGCATCTTCGACATCAAAATTGCCGGATCGAAATTTTGCAAACCAGTTTTGGCACTGGCGTACTGTTAACACGCCTTCTCCATAGACATCCGTCAATTTTTTTCTCGCTTGGACAGCATTTTTACCTTTTCTGAAGTAAAAAAGTAAAATATGAAGAAAATGCTGCTTATAGCTCTCCATATTTAAAAGGACACCAACCAAAAACTACTGCGTAGAATTAATAGAACTTTTTCACACACAAGCCTTGCAATATCAGCTCTCAAGACATATAATAATTATGCGGCTTAAGTGTGAAGTTGGTTTCGAAAAAACGTAATTTAGTCCTCTGACGGGAAAAAACGAAATGACTTTCCGAACAACTTTATAATTAAATTTTAAAAACGAATTAGGAAAATCCACAATATTCCGGCAAAATCCACGAACCTCCTCGACTCGTTTTTGCAGGCTTTTCAGATTTTAAGTTTATTAAAGAAACTGACGCAGTAATTAAGTCAGAAATCTCTTATGTCGAAAACCAAATTAAGCAACTGTCTCCCAGTCAACTTAATGTAGGTAGTAGAGAATATATTGTGTATCATGAATTATTAAAAACTATGGTAGACGGAAAGGTTTGCAATTCCTTAATGTCTACCTCATCACAAAAATGTTACCTATGCAAATCTGGATCTGCTCTAGGCCTCTCCACTCTGCATGCGATTTTTTGAATGTTTCATTCATATTTCGTATAGATTAAATTTAAAAGTTTGGCGAGTGCCAATAATTCACAAGGACGCATTTAATTATAGGAAACAGAAAATAATTAAAAAATTTTGGGAAGAAGTAGGCTTGCTAGTCGATATTCCCAAAGGGGGTTCGGTAATACGAATGATGGGAACACGGTTAGGAGATTTTTTTCGGACCCTGCTATTTCATCCAGAATTACTGGTGTAGACCAAAACTTAATTTATAGATGTGGTATTATATTAAAAACTTTAAATTCCGGTTATCAAGTAGATTCCGGATAGGAAGATATCTAGAAATGATTGCAACAAAGACTTAATTAATATTCTTTTACTCTCATCAGACCCTCTTGTATGTAGTTTGAGGGTTGTACCACCAAAAAAAGAAAGTGTTTTTAGTACAGAAGTTGTCAATCTTCTAGCAGAACCTGAATTTAATTAGATATATAAGATATTTCATTTTGCACCGTTTCTTTTCTTATTTATAATTAGGTAATATTGATTTATTATAAGTAAATACTTTATAAATGTATAACATTTACTTTTACAGTGACTTTGTTTCTTTTTTTATCTCAAAAAATGAACTGAAGTGTAAAGTTATTCAGGTGATAAAATTAACTGATTTTGATAATTACCTATTGGTTAGAACATGAACAATTATTGTTTTTTTTATTAAACTTGGTAGATAAAAAAATTTACCTACCTACCTTATATACACAGAATATGTTTAGATTTTACATAGTGGCAAAATTTAATAATTCTAGCATCATGTTTCGTATCAGGATTAAATTTATCTTAATAAGTACAGTAGTGGTAAAAAATGGGACACTAGTTTGTCATATTGTAATTATAATTATTACAAAAAAAAAAATATATAAATAAACTTTTGCAACATTTTTTATGTACATTTTGAGAGTTAATTAGTATCATAATAATAATAATAATAATAATAATAATAATAATAATAATAATAATAATAATAATAGGGGATCATTTCTCTCTAAATAAAGGTATACGAGTTAATAGTTATAGATACCTTTATGCTCTAATAATGATAATTTTTGTATTGTTTCTTTTCTGATTTAAAAACCAATTCCTTTGATTTAAATTTATTGATTATGCCGTTATTCTGTAAACATCTCAACAATCACTGTTTGGGTTGTTTCTTCGATTATTTTTATGTGGTTTGTCAGGATATGCTTAAGTATTTTACTATTTGTTATATATATATATATATATATATATATATATATATATATATATATATATATATATATATATATATATATATATATATATATATATATATATATATATATATATATATATATATATATATATATATATATATTCTCACGTATTGATTCACGGATGGAAAAATATGATGACACTATATTCCGGGATATCATCCGTTCGCTCGTTGAACTCCGACTGGAATCCTGCATCCGACTGGAATCCTGCAGACGTTTCGCCAAAATCTCACTTGGCATCTTCAATGCTCGCGCTCCGAAAACACTTCGAGTGTTCGGAATATAGTGTCATCATATATATATATATATATATATATATATATATATATATATATATATATATATATATATATATATATATATATATATATTGCAAAAATCACTTATACATCAAAGATTTTTAACTGTCGATGAGATCAAAACAAAGCAACCTTTAAAAGCGTGAATTAATTTAGGTATTTTGACTATCTACATAAAACAATATTATGGCCATAATCTACCGAAATTGCTGTCCAAAACTGGACTAAAATACCGAAAATGTCTGAAAAATTCCAGCTACTGAGTAAGTAACTTTTTGCACGCTCGATCCGTGAGTGAGTAAAAAAATTACTCTTTTTACCCTACAACGGTCAGTTGTACGAAAAAAAAGGAAGAAACCAAATTTACTCCAAACTGAATTAGAATTTCGAAAACATTTTTTATTTTTAATCTTTTGACTTCTTTCACAGCTTAAATGAAACTGTTTTGAGAAGGAATTCGGAAAAAAGTGCAAATACAAAAGTTTGAAGATTTTGGCTCTATTACCCTATGTAAATGTCAGAAAAAACAAATGACGATCGCAAGCTGTGTACATGACAGCAACATCATTTTTTTAATTATAATGGCCCTATACATATTTAGCTCACATCGTAAATCTTTTTTTTTTCTTGATTTCAAAAACATATTGTTTATTGACATTTCATATAGCCGTTTTTGTGATATTTCAGTTAAAAGATATTGTTTAAAAATGGTCAAGTTTCCCTTGGTAGCAACTATCTATGTTTGCAACTGTTTTAACAATGTTCTTCTTTTGACAAAACTAAAGATCTGCAGTGTAAGTTAAATAACTGAAGATATTTCAAATGCTGAGGAAGAAAAACGCCAAATAATAAATTTATATTATTCAGACAATAAAAATATCAGTAATTATTGTTAAACATTTTCCACATAACCTTTATTATTTTCTATACGCCGGATTTTCAATTTCCTATTAATAAACGAGATAATAAAACTGGAAGGGACATATACAGCTGACATTTATGATATTTCAGCGTTCGTTGAATTTTACTATAACATTTTCGGGATAATTTTTTAAAGTCAAAGTAAATGTTTTTGAAATCTATTAAAAAAAAGAGATGTTTGCTGTCATTTTGACAGCTTGAGATCGTCGTTTGTTTTTTTCTGACATTTTCACATGATAATAGATAAAAATCTTCAAACTTTTGTATTTACAATTTTTTTTCAAAATTAGCCCTGTAGGTGGGTTCCAAAATATAATGAATAACCCAGGACATAGTATTTTAAAAGAAATCGATGGCTTATCTTTCTTTCCAAAATATTTAGTCGAAACGCTACTGGTAATAAAAATATCTCGAAACGCAGAACGCATTTTGATGCTCAGGTTCTTTGAAATTCCACCAGAATTCTTCGGAATTCCTTTCAATGGTTTATTCCTCGGTATAGCTTTATTTGAATTACCAACGATATATAAAGATCTAACAGATTTCGAATCACTCGATATACACTATCCACAAACTCTCCCAAATCGACAAGAAAACTCCTTTTTTATGAGAAAAAGTTTCTTTAACATAATTTTAATACTTGTTACTCTGGCTTGGCAACATTTTTTCTCATCTTTCGTACCTAATATACCTCCAGCGAACACCAAAACAATACTCGACTCGGCTATCACAAAGGAGAACATCTTGTATAAAATTAAAGCGATTATTGCGGCAGGAAACGGCGGGAATACCAATCTTCTAGTGTCAAAAGGAACCTACGAATTAAAACGACATTAGCACGATCGATTGCGGGTCATTTGTAAACCCGTAGTTTTCAATAAAAAGCTTTCAACAGAATTGTAAGCTGTTATTTTACGTACTTGACCCAAATTTTACAGTTTTCAGGTAATTTAAAAACTATCGTACTTTGTGGTGTAGACCGTGGATGGCGAAATGAAAATAGATCATTGCCTTGGAACGGCCGGACGGTTCCATGTGGAATATCCATCTGTGCAGCGAGTATTCGATTAGAGTCCACAGCAGAACACCTAAACTTATATTTGACCAAATTCCAAGTATAATCGAACCATCTGAAAAATAAATGGACGTTCATGATATAATTGAAAAAAGAAGAAGAATTTTATCAGGATTCGTTTGTACGATACAAAATTACAATTGCAGAAGGCTCCAAAACAAAACAAGAATTGCACAATATATTAATTGTCCCACAAAACGGAAATTTTTAGGATATTTCAGATTTTTTGCTCATAAACAACACACCCTGTATATGATACAATCATTGTTCGAAGTAGAGGTTATAGCCCTGGATTTTCCACGCAACCTGGTTTAAGAATTTTTTGAAAATAGTAAACGGTTTTCGAGAAAATAAGTTTTTTGTGCGCCGTAATAATCAATGACGTCATCGCTTCTTGACAGTCCCGGAAATAACGATTTCAATATGGATTTTTTCAAATATCCCGAGCAGCGTATGTGACGAAAACCGCAAATACATAAATTGTAGCTCTTGATCAGGCCTATGACACGGTTTTAACCTATTAGCCATTTTTTTTACGATTTTTGATTTGCGGCTAATAATTTACTTTGAAAAAGAACAATTTTCTAGGTCTTTTAGATAATTTGAAAACCCTGTATATAATCGAAAAAATGCCCGAAATAAATGTTATTACACTGGATCTGAAAACATTTTTCTGGAAGCTCAGATTACCAAAAAAAAATTTCAAACATTTTTAAAAAAACTGCTAAATCTGAAGTTGATATCGCATTTCTCATTTGGCACGGAATATCGGGAACACCCTGCACAATAGGTGAAAACCTTAAATACAAAAGTTCTTGCTGTCTATGCGGGCTATATCGCAATATAAATGAAAGTGAGATCTGAATCGTAGCCTTTCAGTTATTACCAATTTTCAATAATAGGGGGACCCATTTTTCAGTTTTTTTGACTTTGCGGCGCACCCTGTATATTTTTGAAAAATTGTCATTCCAGGATCAGCTTAAGTTGCAAGCAAATCGTTCCTTTTTTTACCCAATCAATCTTTGGTTTTAGTTTCTGTTGTATTTAAATTCAGATTCTAACGGACTTGATTTATTAAATATTTTCTCTCAAACGCGTACACAAATAAAAAATTAAATACAGTCCTGGAAAAATCCAAAGTGTCTCTGAACCGGCGCAGTTTAACTACTATAAAAAAGACGTACCTTTGGTGCATGATCGCGCGTAATCTTCAGATCCGTACCTTATCAAATAAAGGACCACAGGGATCCATATCAAGGGAACGATATACCACGGTGTGATTGTCAGGTTTTCTAATACTGGATTTCCGAATAGTATAAGATGTCTATCGACGGGTGACAAAACCCACTCCCTGTATCTGTCACCTAGTTTGCCAACCTGGCTTAGCATGGGCCTATTCCAGTCCACCAGCCTCTGCGGATCGAATCAGTTATTACTGAGGAGCGGAGAAAATGCAAAATGCATCTTTTTTCTGTTTTTTACAACACGCTTAACCCGATTTTGTCTCAGTGGTGCGTTAATGCTATGATGTTATTCTTATCACTACTAAAGGACATAAAACCGTAGAAATCGCTAATTTATGTGTAGAGGAAAGATCTTATAAAGGGTGATTCAATAAGGGTTTCCACATTAAAATAATAAAAAAAACTCGAAAGAATATACAAATATGCAAACATTTTTATTTGCCATTTTAGATTAGTGTATTACGTACGTAATTCGTTTATTGAAATTTCCTATCACTTTTTGACACAATTCAGGTTCTATGCCGGCTATTTCGCGTCTAGTCTCCTGTTTCAGCTCTTGAATAGTGTTTGGTTTATTTCTATGCACTCTGCTTTTTAGATACCCCCCAAAAAAAATCTAGGGGAGTAAGATCACATAATCGCGGCGGCCAATTGATATCGCCGTTACGTGAGATAATCCGACCAGGAAACTTGCCCGCAGCAATTGCATCGTTTCTCTGGATGTGTGCAAGTGGCTTCATTCTGTTGGAACCACAAATCTTCAATGTCCATACCTTCCAACTGCTCCCAGAAAAAATCAGATATGATGTTTCGATAGCGAACACCATTAACCGTAACAGCGTTCTCCGCATTATCCTCCAAAAAAAAGGGGCAATTATTCCTCCGCACCAAACAGTCACTTTTTGAGGTTGCATTGCTTTTTGAACAATCTCTCTTGGATTTTCTAATCCCCAAATACCAGCGTTGTGTTTGTTTACAAAGCCACCAATGTGAAAATGTGCATCATTGCTAAAGATGATTTTCATTGAAATGAAAAATGAACCCCTTGTTCTCGTATCCATTCTGCAAACACGCGGCGCTGTTGATGATCTCGACGTTTCAACTCCTGAGTTATTTGGACTTTATGTGGGTGTAGATGCAAGTCTTTGTTAAAATTCGCTGTGTGGTTGAATACGTAGGGCCCACTTGCTGCGATCGATGACGAATCGATGTGTTTGGATCTTGGATACACTTTCAGCAGCAAAGGCAATATTTTGATCTGAGCGACCTGCACGAGCACGTTGAGGAACTTTGAGGTTAGTTACAGATCCAGTTTGCTCAAATTTTTGAACCACATTTTAAATTGTTCTCTCAGAAGGTCGATTTTGATTTTCATAATAGGCTTGTACAATATTTACACGTTGTTCAGTCGTATATTGCCCCGTGACTAATTTTGTTTGTGTTTTGAGGTTAGAAATCTTATATGATAATAAACAAATACACTGGCGTTTCAAAAATGTTTCAGATTGTAGTGTGAAAACTCTTATTGAATCACTGAATGGAAGAAAGGTCAGGTTGAGTACACGCACACACCTATATCCGATGAATTTAGATCATGTGAGGAACTAAAAAATAGGCTTTCTGGAAAAACTCCGCTTGAAATATTTTTTATGTTTTTTGATGACGAAGTGATTGATTTGATTTTAAAATTTTCGGTAAAATATGCTCAAGACAATAACCGCCATGAATTCTCGTTGTCAAAAAATGAACTTTTAAATTTTGTAGGCATTTTATTGTTCTCGGGTTATCATATATTACCACATATGGTCTACGGATGAAGACAAAGGAATTGCGATAGATTCCAATTGATAAAGCAAAACTTGCACTTATCTGACAATAATCTGTTGGATAAAAATGATAAATTTTCAAAAGACCCTTCTTTGATGTAATAAATAAAAAAAATCTTCAATTTTGGTATATTTTCGTTCAACTTATCTATAGATGAACAAATGGTACCTTACTTTGGCCGCCATTCCTGCAGAAAGGGGTAAGCCAGTTCATTTTGGCTGTCAATATACCCCAACTTTGTGTAATTGTCCAATACAATGGATATATTGTTGGGGTAGATTTACATAACAACAGAGTTGCTAATTACAGGTGCCAGGTATTTGGAAAAAAATGGTGGTGGCCTTTTGTAACTTACTGGATAGTTTAGTAGTAGTATAATATTGTCAACGAATAAAAGATGTCCCAGGTAGATTTTACATCTTACATTGCCTTGCGACTTTTAAAATCTGATAAAACAATTACTCAAAGAAATCTTGCACCTGCCATAGATGAAGTGCGTTATGATAATCAAGGTCACCTCATGATTGTTCATCCTAATAAAGCCCGAAGGAGATGTAGAATCTGCCACAGCCACACAATTTATGTTTGTAGTAAGTGCAATGTGCATTTACATACTTCATGCTTTGTAAAATATCACCAAAAATGGAACCGGGTGTTCTATTTTATAAAACAATCTACTTTTAGTTGTTTTTTGTCAGATTTGAACTTTCTTTTGTCAATGTTCATACTTTTTCATATAATAAAAATGCAAATTTGTATTTTTCTTTCATTTCGATTGATATATTCTGAAAATCTTATGCATTTAAATGCGCACCGTTTAAAAATATTTTCAGATTTAGAAATATTGTACTATTTAACACAAATAAATGACAATAAATAATGTTCATATTTTCACACCATATTTTGCATTTGATAAAGGCACGGTGCTTGCCGAAACAGCTGTCATATACCAATAAACAACTGGGAAAATCTAAACATTTGTTATTCTAATTTAATTATGTCCTTTCTGTCTGTGACGAGTATTTTATTTTGCAATTAAATAATCGTACGGTGTGACGTTGACTGGGGCAGAGTTTGGTCGAAACCTATCTCTCGGTGTAGTTTACTTCTTTATGATCGTGGGACGGGTATACCTCCAAGTCTTCCTCGTCGCATGCGGATCCCTCCGTTGCCCGTCCGGCCTTGTACTCTCTGAACAAGTAATACGCAGCGTCGGAATGAAATGTATCCTCCATTCGTTTCTGGACGTCTTTGCCTTTATAAGGCTTGACGTAGTTGACCCCTCCCGGATGGTTTCGTAGAAAACTCTCGATGTCGTACCTTTCGCGTTTGTAGAAAACGTCGAAGTCGCCATCTTTCTGCATTTTCTCTACAAAAGAAGAACAGAAAATGTACCTCATTTTGGTTCCTCTAAAAGGTGTAGGAAAATTGTTGCCTCATAAAAATCCCCCAAATACCACCAAAGTTAGAAATTTATTTGCTTTTACAATTCCAATGAGATACCGCTTCACCTTAGACCCTGTGAGAATAATTTCTCATCCCCTAAGCACTGAAACCTTGAGGAGTTATTTAAGTTCGAAGCATTCAAATAAAGAATTCCAGTTGCCATTGGTAGTAGTAGGTAATGATGACGTAGTCTGGACTTTATCCCAATTAAAGTCCAATGCTTCAGGAAATGATGCTTAGACTGTGCTGTCCAAAAATCCTGCCCATGTTAACGCACCTTTTTAATTCCTGCATTGAGAAAGGAATATTTTCTGGGCTATGGTAACTTGAAATAGATTTGCCTTTCCCTGAAGTTAGTGCTCAAAGATCTTAGACCCTTTATCTTATTGACAACACTTTCAAAAGTGTTAATTTACAGACAAATAATTCATTATTTAGGAGGTCGGGACAGGTTGGACAGCGATGTACCTCAAGGGTCTCTTCTGAGACCTTTGTTCTTAGTTATCCTCACTTCGGATATGATTGATTACATTGAGCATACATCAGTATGCCGATAACACCCAATTATCTGAAAGTTTCCCAAAATCTGAGGCTGCTGAAGGTTTAAAGAAGTTAAATGGAGTTTAGAAAAGATTGCAATATACTCACATAATAATAATTTTCAAGATTGGGCTAGTAATCTGCTTAACATGTCAATCAAAAATGTTAAAATACCGGATGTTTCCGAATGCAAAAACTTGTGTGTCATTTTTGATAATAAATTAAGGTTCTAAAATTACACAAAAAGGTTACTGCAACTTAAGGAACTTAGACAAAAACAAACATATTCTCAACCTAAAGTTAAAAAAAATCATTGTCTGAAGCGTTGGTCTTGTGTCACATAAACTATTTTAGTTTTGAATTTGGTCCCTGTTTGGATTTGACCACTAAAGCGAAGCTACAAAAAGTGCAGAACTTATGTTTATGTTTGATCATGTAAGTGAAAAGCTGAAATAATTATGCTGTCTTAAGTTTAAGCTACGCTAGCTAGCAGAATTCATTTTCTTATATGTCTGCTAAGTTGCTAAACCGATACCCCGATATCTGCTCGGAAACTCATCCAGACTATCTTTTAAAATCAATTTTGAAAAAGAAACTGTTAATGGAAATTATATAAGTTATATTTGTACCTTTGTTAATTGTAGATTAGCCTTGTCAATTTTATTGCTTTAATTATTGTTCCCTTACTTTAATGTTTATTTTTGCCTATTTCAACACACCTTTTTCCCACGTTTATTGCTATTGTTAATCTATTATTATTGTTTGCTCGTTTACTCATTTATTTATGATACTTGTTGCGAAACTTTTCTAACACGCTCGGTTGAGTCAGTGAAGCTCTGAAGAAGCCACCAGGATGATTGGCGAAACGTCAGTAAGTTTGATTCATCAACAATCAACTCAGGAGGAATCCAGATAGTAAGTAAGTAAGAGAAGGGAGAGAAATTGTTAAAACCGAGTTAGAAAGAGTTAAAAAATAACGGGGCAAAGTTCCTAGGTGTTAAGTTTACATTCAACAAAATGGATACAAAAAGTTGTGGGAAACTATGAGAAGAAATCGTATAAGTGAGGTGAAGAAATAGAGAAATAGAACAACGAATTGAGTTTTCGACAAAAAATGACTATTTCATCTTCTCAATTACGTGTCCAAGATAATGATGATAAGAGATACGAAGGCTAAATTTAGTGCTGTTTGTAAAACTGAAAAAATTCCATTACTTGCCGATTTGTTTTTTTTTGTGTCATTCAAAGATATATAAAATATAAAGGTCAGTTTTTGAGCCCCACAAGGTAGCGTTGAATTATTTTAAGTACGACGTTTCTTTTAGGCGAAATCATTATAAACTTCATATGATTAAAATTAATCCACAGGGTATTCTGGTTAGTTTCGATGTGGAATCTCTACTATTCCTTATTCCTGAAACTCTAAACGTTATTATTATTATTACATATTAAAATTCGAGAATCCGGAACCAAATCTCATCTTAATTGAAAAATGTTTGTGTGGAACATATTTTTCTTATAACGGTCTAATTTTTGCACAAACGTCGGAAACAGCTGTGGGTTCTCCATTATCACCAGTCATCACGAATATATTTACGGAAGGTTTTGAGAAGAAAGCTCGACACCTTCCATCTAAAACTAAAATTATGGAACGCTACGTTGATGATACTTTTATTATTTAGCCTCATAATCAAGAATCCCTACCAGATTGTCTTAGACATTTAAACTTTATACATCCTAACATACGAGGGCAGCGCCCAAATTTCCCGGCCTGAATATGAAAGAAACAAAGTAGAGTAATAATTTTTTATTATTTTTCAATATAATCCCCCTTAACTTCAATACACTTATTACATCTCTTTATTAACAACTCAATCCCTTTAAAAAATATATTCTTTTGGTTTGTCTACACAATGAGCTAAAACAGCCTCTTTTAACTCAACTTCGTCGTTAAACCGCCGTCCACGTAAGTCCTTTTTCAAATATTCAAACAAATAATAGTCGCTGGGGGCCATATTTGGACTATAGGGAGGATGATCTGTTTGTTGGAACCCACACTCTAAAATGACAGCTTGTGCAACACCAGCCGTATGGACAGGTGCATTATCGTGCAAAAGACGCACGCCTCTGGTCAGTTTTCCTCGACGTTTTACACGTATGCAGTCTCGAAATTCATGTAATAATGTTGCGTAATATTTACCATTGACAGTGGTATTAGTTCTTTAAAATCTATCAAAAGAATTCCTTCACAATACCAAAAGATCGTGGCCATCACCTTTCTTGTTGACTGACAGACTGTGAATTTTCTTGAAGGTGCTTCACCCTTACGACTCCACTACATTGATTGTTTTTTCGATAGAGGGTCATAATAAAGAACCATAGTTTCATCTCCCGTCACAATAGTTTTTATCACAGAGTTCCAGAAAGACCGCGCACACTCAACACGGCGTTGTTTTTGAATAGCCGAAAGGTTTTTGGCAACCCGACTTGCACTAACATAACATAAAAGATCATGCAGGATTCGACGAATCTGAAAGCTTAGTAATTTCTGAGATTTCTTTGACCTTTAAACGTCGATCACTCAATACCACCTCTTCCACAATTAACAACATCTTCCGTTATGACCTCCACTGGTCGACCAGTTCTTGAATCATCTTCAAGAGACTCCTGCCCCGTTCGAAAACGTTTTGCCCATTCTTTCACTACAGAATATGAAGGAGAATTTTGGCCGTACACACCATCCAGCCTTTCTTTAATAATTTTAGGTGCCAACCCTTCCTTTGTCAAAAACTTTATGACTGCTCTATACTCAGGCCGGGAAATTTTGGCGCTAACCTCGTACGTTTTGGTTAGTTTTGGTTAGTTAGTTAGAAACATTGATTATTACTTAAAATTTAAAAACAATGTTTCCCTATAATAATACCATTCCAGGCCTTACACTCTCTACTTAAAAATAGCTATCTACCTACATGTAAATTATTCAATAACTCAATACTTCATTTCCCACTTCCAACAAGACCTTGCCTCCCTCTGCTTCCTATGCCGCGTTACCGGTATATATATATATATATATATATATATATATATATATATATATATATATATATATATATATATATATATATATATATATATATTCTCACGTATTGATTCACGGATGGAAAAATGTGATGACACTATATTCCGGGATATCATCCGTTCGCTCGTTGAACTCCGACTGGAATCCTGCTTCCGACTGGAATCCTGCAGACGTTTCGCCAAAATCTCACTTGGCATCTTCAATGCTCGCGCTCCGAAAACACTTCGAACACTTCGAAGTGTTTTCGGAGCGCGAGCATTGAAGATGCCAAGTGAGATTTTGGCGAAACGTCTGCAGGATTCCAGTCGGAAGCAGGATTCCAGTCGGAGTTCAACGAGCGAACGGATGATATCCCGGAATATAGTGTCATCATATATATATATATATATATATATATATATATATATATATATATATATATATATATATATATATATATATATATATATATATATATATATATATATATATATATGTGCCACTTTTTTTTATTGTTTTTAACTACATTATAATTCTACTCTCGTCTGTAAGATCACTAACTACACACCGATCTAGCGTGCGGAAATCGTTACTTTACCGAGTGAGTTTCGTTTCCTATGGATCCGAGCTACTTCGGACATTTCCGGAATTTTTCGGAGATTTTACGCCACGGTTTGAATTTTGACGAATTCTGGCGGTCACGTCACTAAATTTATTCATGTTGTTTTGTAAAAATGTATCTAATACATAGAAAAACGTTATGCAATATATCAGACAATTTAAATACTACGTGCTATAAGCTACAATTAAAATCTGGTGGACTAGTCGGTAAGTAAAGTGACATTTATAATTTAAGTTTCCCACAGAAATGTTACATACCGTTCGTATAAACTTTAGTGGTTTTTACAGTTTTTATATTGATATCTTGCCAATACCAGTTGTACGATTTTCAAATATCCAAGTCTCATCAGTACAACCAAAACAAAATTGAAGGTTAGGGCCTGCTTTTTCTTGTTTATACGATCTTAAAAATTTCGTCCTCTTGAAAACTCTATCCTTGGATGATTTTTCTTCCAATTACAGTTTTTTTTAATTAAATAAGTTACTTAATGATCAATTGTAAAAGTTAAATAAATAACGTATTAAAATTATGTATATTCCGATGTTTATATGATATATCCAATCTGTCTGACGTACACAGTTAAAAAGAGACAATAATAGCAGACCCGATCGGAACGATAAACGAATATTCAATAAGTTTAGTGCATTATGCCACAAGTGCGGTAAACGGCATTTGACTCACGAGTTTCTTTTGTGCGACGGTC